AAAACTCGTCAGAAAAATTGCCATGAAAGTATTTATAGAAAAATCTCAGGAAAGATAGGTTACGGCGGTAGGAATGTGACTGAAACACCAGATGCCAGGTGAGGATCGATAACATTGCAAATTATTACTATTATTACTGTAGTGAGATTGATCCTCACCAGGTGCCCCACAATTATAGTCTTGTACCGTACTAACTCAAATTTAATAAATATCAAAGGTCTGGGGCAATGATTAACAAGCTGATTTCACGGGGCATTAGTGCTGAAATGAGTATGATACTCACCGAGTGCTCTGTGTTGCACTAAACAAAACGATATAAATACTAAGATCGGATACCTCGCCGTGGAATAGTAGTTAGCAAAAAAAAAAACTCACAAACAATTAATACTGTTCAATCTTTACTGTGTGTATTTTGCTGCGAAGTGAATAATAGGAGCAGATAGGTTCACCCCTCGCTCAGTTCACAAACCTCCGCAGGATTTTTGAACAGAGGTACAGGTTTATCCTGTTTAGGATTGGGTTTCCGGTTCCATCTAAAGTCTACTTCAACTCTGCACTTCTAACATCTCCGCTTGAACTCTGAAATTTTATTTACTAATTATTTTTTCTTCTCCTTAATAGGAGTAGGTAGTTTCGGCTATCACCCAGTTCATACTCCTCTTTGGTCTTTTGAACTTTTGAAATTTTATTTACTAATTATTTTTTTCGTTTTCTCAATGGGAGTAAATAGATTCGTCTATCTTAACGTTCACACTTCTCCCCGGTCTTTTGAACAGCGAATAGGAATGGGTTTTCTGGTTCCTTCTCTAAAGTTTTTTTTCATTCTCTTTCACTTCAAGTAGCTCTCTGCGTTTTGATCGTATTATCGGCTTGCTCGGAGTGAATTGATTGAAAAAAAAAACACATGACGGAAAAACTATATTTATGATGAGAAAAATGGCGTCTTGAGTCAAAGAAGAACTGGAAAAGAAAAAATGAACTTTTTCGATGATTATAATGATGATGTAACGATAATTAAATATAGTCAGCAGCCGAGATATGAATCTAGTAAAAAGAACGGCGATTCCCTTAAATTAAATGTTATCCAGTAAGTATCCCGCAAGGAAGGCGTTTCACGATCTTCAGCGGATGCCTGAAACTGCGGATAATACGAAAACTGCATATATCTTTTTCCTATCCCTACATAATTAAAGTTTAATTTATAAATTAGTCGAATAAGATATTAGCAACAGGAACTGCAGAAAAAATTACAACAATATTGGCATAGTACCCGTAAAAAATAACACGTTACGTACAGAACAGATCTTCTGCCTTAGGATCAATATAGTATCTTTCTGTAAAATAAGTGTTCGAGCGTACACACACACACACACACACACACACACACACACACATATATATATATATATATATATATATATATATATATATATATATATATATGTACATCAAACATATGAAATATTTTATTCAGTAAAGTAGATACCTCCACAGAAAACGCGATACCTAAATGGTTTAAAATTTTTAAAAATCTTTCTCGAAGGTTTTGTTTTAATTTTAATAGATTAAATTTAATATTTCAATAAGTAAAATACTTTGCTGTAAAATAAGCGCTAGGGTATGTGCACAAACACACAAGGACCGCCTCCCATATATATATATATATATATATATATATATATATATATATATATATATAAATCAGTATATCGGCTTGAGGCAGTCAGCCACACTGATGATAAAGCAAAATAGTCTGTCTGTGGATGACAATATATATATATATATATATATATATATATATATATATATATATATATAATTATTATTTATAAAAAATTATAACATTATAACATACTTATGTTATAATTTTTTATAAATAATAATTATATCTGCTCTACTTTGTATTGAGCACTCTTTTAAGAACAGTAATTGTTGGTTATTGGAATTCATTCCGTATATACCTATTATATACTTCGATATATATATATATATATATATATATATATATATATATATATATATATATAAAGTATTATATTTATGGGTAAAATGGTGATAGACTATAAACTATATATATGCGTGTGTATGTGCACGCTCTGGCACTTATTTCACGGACAAATATTCAGTGTCTCAGTGTCCATTCATTCATTCATATATATATATATATATATATATATATATATATATATTAAGACAATTCACTCCAAGCAAGTCGGTGGTGCCGCTAGCGCTCAAGGGGTTACAGAGGATAATTCTGAATGGAAAAATTTGATCCTTAAGCCTAACCCTACCTGCTGATGAGTGATACTGCTGCTGCTGCTTGACTGCTGTCAGCACTGCTCTTCTTTTTTTTACTACAGCTTCTGCTCTTGAAGCTTTACTGTCATTTCTTGTTTATTTATTAACGGCTCTCATATTGAATTTATTTCCATGCTTACACTATTAAGGCAATCCTCATAACCTATCATATGCGCTGATTCTTTCAGACGCATTTTTTTATAATGATATTCATCTAGTACAATGCCCAAGAGCCACTCGTCGTAGAGGGTTACAGTCACAGTTTATGTGGATAAATGGTAAGGTAACGGTTGAACTTAGACTTGAATAGGTTAAGACTGCAGACATCCTATTGGGCGTTCATTCCACAAAGCAGCCGTTCATGGGAAGAAGCTCGACTGAAACTTACATAGCACCAATGGAATATTACTTTAACAAAAAACATTTAGTCGATGAGGAAGAAAATGAATTCTAAGCAAATCAGACAGTTTATCGCTGTGGAATATGGATGAAAATCTTGACTTACTTCTATGTTGCTTTTTTGTTTCTATGTTTTTGGTATTTTTTTTTTATCCTTTTACCCCGAGCAAGGCAATAAAGCCACTGAGTCACAAAGGGTTGCTTAGTGTTAGAGAATGTGAGGGAAATACTATTAAGGAGAAAGAACAAGAAAAGAACAAGAATTAAAAAGACAGAAGATGACGATTTACATTGCATTTTTTTTTTTTTTTTTTGAAAATCGAAGTTGACTGGGAAGCAAGAAGCTAGAAGAGAGTTCCACAGGCGAGAAGTGTGATAGAAAAACTGTTAGCATAGAACTTAGGGTTACATCTAGCCATTTCAACATTAAAATGATGAGGTCTTGCCGCCAATATCGCACTGAGCTTAAATTCATAAATTCTAGTTATCATAGAGGAAAGATCATCAGAATAATTCCCATGAAAATATTTATAGAAATGCCATATTTTATTTATTGGTTTGTAGTTTTTAGTCATAACCAATTTTGACTCAAGTTGAAAGCTATATACAAACATCTCTTACATTCTCCATAGCAAAGGCGGTCTATACGTTATGATACTTGTAAAATCTGAGGCATCAAATATCTACGTCTGTTCACTAACTCACATTAAATGAATCTGCTTCAGATCTGACGTGTCTGAAAATGTTATTTCCATCAATTACTTCAACAGTGTAAATTTATACAAAAGTTGATAGACTTATTATTTTTCTTGTTTTATATGCAACGTCATTTTCCCCGGCATCAACACTTCGTTTTATTTTATTTTCGATTCATTTTATTTTATTCGATTTCATTCTTCTTACCGAAAACATCACAGCGGGGCAAGGTCATCTGATCTTGACTATATTTCATCGCCAAATATGAGAAAATATCGAATCGAAGTATATTTTAGCCTACGACCTCCAGTTAATTTGTATTACGCCTGCCGTCCGCCATTGTAATGGCGGCATCGGCACTAATGCTTTTCCTTCTCATAGCACAAAAGAGATTTTGGGCAGGGACAAGGGTAAGGAGCAGGCGGTCGGGGTACAAGAGAAAAATAATATATGACCTGTTTGGTTTTTTTCCAGAGTAAATCCATTTATCTAGATCCGAATACAGCCCAAACAGCATGGTTGCTCCAATCAGTGAAAGAAAAAAATGAGAGAAAAAAATTAAGAAAAAAAATTGGAAAAATAAATAAACGGGAGTGAACGTAGGTAAAAATAAAAAATAATAAAAAAAAAAAGAAACTTGAAAACAGCACTGATACAACCGGGCTTGGCTACAAAATCTCGGAATGATCTATAGTTCCAAAGAATTTGTTCGGACATAGCCACATTTATTAAGATTTGCCTTCTGACTGGTCGGCAATAGCCGCGTTTGTCATTGATTTTTCTATTCTTTTGTTATTGATAAGATATGATTCGTATTAGATGGCCACGGCGTTTTGCAAAAAGAAAAGAGAACGAGAAATTATATAACTGGATACAAAACACCTTTTCATCATTATATTATATTGTTTTTTAGTTGTTTTTTTTATGCTTTCCAGGGGGTGGGGAGGGTCTGAAATTGTCCCGTTCTTCACTTCGACGCCTCAGGTTGACGTTCGAACCAAGCCAAAAGCTAGAATCCAATGTGCGTACTCTGAGGCTATAAATCTCGTTCTTAACACACCCTTAGTGCTGTGAGGTATTGTCGCAGTATTAGTACCGGAGGGATCAAACACCACTATTTACCACTATTTAGAATATATATATATATATATATATATATATATATATATATATATATATATATATATATATATTCAGTTCTTTCTGGTCTTAGAAGATAAATAAAGAAAAATAGAGAACTGGAAAATATTTTCATTGCCTTTTCAAATGCTAATCACATATCTTTCGACGACAAATGTTTAAAGCCTGGTCTTGTTTTTAAAGACGAAAATGAACTAAATGTAATTTAAAATGGAAAAGATTTTTGATTGAGTGATTTGCTTTTTTTACGGTTTATCAACCTTCTGCAGGATATTTAAAGCCAGAAAATATTTTTTTATTAAAAGAATTTGGGTAGATAATATTGATTTGCTGATACTGATTAACCCATAGGTGAAGGGAAAGAGGTGTATTCACATCTTTGCCAATGCTATTTGCGAGTGAGTGAGCACAACTATTTCCAATTACAAGCCGTTAGCCACTTCACTACCTGCACGTTCATAGCGTAGAGCACCTGGTAATCTGAGGCGGTCACCCATCAAGATACTGACCAGGCTCGGCACTGCTTAACTTCGGTAATCCTACGTGAACCGGTGTTTAGAAACGGTGTTTTCAACGTGATATAACCGTAAACAGAAATTAAAAAAAGAAAGAATCATATAAATCAAATTCGATGTACAAGGTGGTCCGAAAGTCTTGTTACCCTCTACCAAAAAGTAATGAGAACAATTAATACAATAATACAAAGTACATGTATTGGATTCAGTTTATTCGCTTTCATTGACGCTGTCACACTGTATGAGCGCCATCATTTTCGTGGCACGAAATAATGCAGCGCGATGTTTTTCTGTGTGGTATTTTATGAAGCTGTGCTTTGTGGATTGTTGCAAAGGCTCTCTGCTTGATATTACCCCCGCCGAGCTTTGAAATAGAAAATTATGTTATACAGGGGTGACAAGAGATTCGGACCACCCTATACAATAATGTCAGTTAAATACCATTCATGCTTCACGCATGGGCGATCATGTCACTTTCAAACCATGACTGACGCGGCAGAAGACTTTTCTCCACAATAGATTGGCGTTTCTTTCTGCGTTCTGTCTTTCTTTCAATTTTTTTTTTTTACCCAGTCTGTCCTGGTATTCAACCCATAGCTGGGGGGGGGGGAAATGAGACATATTCATTCCTTTTACAAGGGTATTTGCGTATAAGTGAAAGTAATGAACCCAACTGGAATTCGAACTCAACTCAACGATTTATCATCCCAATTACACAACATCTGACATCGATACATTTTTTTTTAAATATTTTTAATTTTCTAACCCACTGTTAATACTGTAGGGCCATTTAACAACATTAGTATCGAGTATGTTCAAACACTCTATTTAAAACATTGTAAATAGTTTTCAATTTTCTTCTTATATATATATATATATATATATATATATATATATATTATAATAAAGAGAAAGAACAGTAAGTAATCCAGTGTTATTATTAATATTTTTATTTTTACAAAACAGTGTTCAATGCAAATCTACAGAGCATAAATATTATAAATTTACTTATTTACCCCAAGAACACTAAACGTGGGTATATAGTACCCAACGCAAATTTTCCTATTTTTAATTACAATTTTCAGTACCTGATTTTCTTACCTATATAATGTTTTTCAGTTCCTATTAATGTTAACTCAAAGTACAAAGTTTGAAGTGTCTGCATGTAAAATATTTCAAATAAAAATTTATATTTAATAATTTTTTTTTTTTTTGATATTTTCAAAATCGGGTATGATATACCCATGGTTAGTAGTTGTGTAACTTTAATTGATGGTTAGTATTCTAGGGTTAAAATTATGGTTCCATCGCTACACAGGAATTATCAAAAAAAGAAGCTAAAAACTTCAAATTCAATTATACAATTAAACTAAATCCCTAGTTCTGTTTCATTTTCAAGGGAATTTTGGAATAACTTATTTTGAAATTTATTGAGTTTTATACATTGACTTAACCTCTTTTCGAAAGTAACTAATATGTTGATACAATAATTGTCAGTAAAAAAGAATACCCTACCACCCCTTGTAAAAATGATTGGTTTTCCCCATATCCATAGAAACAAATATTATGAATGTCTGTGCTAAAAAGCTCAGTGTGTAGCGATGGAACCATATTTTTAAATAAGTAAATTTATTATTATAGATAGATAGATAGATAGATAGATAGATAGATAGATAGATAGTAATTATTAGAAGGATTTGATAATTATATTTAATTAATTCATCGAGTCTGATAGAAACCTCAACAGAATGCAGAAAGTCCTATATTTGGGACTCATCAGCATTAGAACAGTTAGTATGATGTTTGCTTGACAACCTATCATGGTTTCAATTCTCGGTAGTGGATGCGCACTGCTGATGAGTCCCAAATATCTGTGTATATCATCGCTTGAACCGGCTTCTAATGCTTTAGAGTGAGCTGCTTGGTGAGAGTAGTCGTGGCTCCAGCGGGCACAGTCCTATGGTTACAGAGAACGCAGTATGGTTCCACCACGGAATATGTGAGTGAGCGGCGCTATATTGAGTCTGATTTGCAATCTCTTCGTCGTCGCTGCTCATTGGAACAGTTGGTATGATGTTTGCTTGATAATCTAACTGTCAGGGTTTCAATTCTTGGTAGTAGATGCGCACTGCTGATGAGTCCCAAATATAGGACGAAACGGCCGTCTAGTGTTTTCTGCATTCTGTTGAGGTTTCTTTCAGACTCGATGAATCAATTAAATATATATATTGTTTGATTGTTGTTTCAAGTTTGTAGAGAAGAATTAAAAAAGGAAAAAGTGTTTAATTTTGAGAAAGCGAACCTAAAGACCCATATTAATAAATTAAGTTTTACATTTCAAAAATGCAAATATGTAAAAATAGGTTTAATTTCTATTTCAGTAAACAAATTGTTTGTAATACGCACAAATACTATGACTAAAACCAAAACTTTCTTGTAGTTACTTGATAGAGAGAGATTCAAAAATCTATTTGACTAAATATTAAAGAAAAACTTTTTGTCGGGATGTTCAAAAACCCATCGTTACTAATAGGGGGTTAAAAGTAGTTTACGCAGTCTCTAAGCCGTCCGAATCTAAACCGTCCGGATTAAATCATGAAGTCTTCAAACTCCAAAGATGAAACATTGACAATTATTAGAACATTACATTTCCAGGTGATTAAAGGAATACATATTTCTTTATAAATAAACATTCAACATTCATTTACAGAACAACGAGTTCTACACGAGTGACGCTTTCCTTCACTCACTGATCAGGAATATCGTATCTGTTCTTCTTTTTATCGCTCCCTGGACATCGGACTGGGATCAAAATCTCATATCTGTTCTCTTTTTGTTTACTCCCTGGCCATCGAATCTAGTATCTATTCTCCTTTTATTCGCTCTCTGAACATCGGACGGGGATCAAACTCTATTATATTTCCTCCTTTTCTTCAGTCCCGGGATATCGCACTGGGATCAAAATCTAATATCTGTTCTCCCTTTCTTTACTTCCTGGCTCTCGGACGGGGGATCAAAGTCTAATATCTGTTCTCTTTTTCTTTTCTCACTGGCCATCGGACTGGAATCAAATCTAGTAACTGTTCTCCTTTTATTCGCACTCTTAATATCGGACGGGGATCAAAAGCTAGTATCTGTTCTCCTCTTCTTCGCTCTCTGGACATCGAACTAGGATCAAAATCTAATATCTGTTTTCTTTTTCTTTTACTCCTTGGCCATCGGACAGGGATCAAAATGTATTATATGTTCTCTTTTCATCGCTCCCTGGACATCAGATCTGGATCAAAATCTAGTATCTTTTCTCCTGTTCATCGACATCTAGTATCATCAAAATCTTGTATCTCTTCTCCTTTTCTCTCGACATTGGACTGGGATCAAAATTTAGTATCTTTCCTCCTTTTCTTCAGTCCCTGGACATCGGACTGGGATCAAAATGTAATATCTGCTCTCCTTTTCATCGCTCCCTGGACATCAGACTAGGATCAATATATTGTGTCTGTTATCCTTTTCTTCACGCCCCCGTCATCGAACTGGGATCAAAATGTAATATATGTTCTCCTTTTGTTCGCTCCCTGTCCATCAGACTGGGATCAAAATGTAGTATCTGTTCTCCTCTTCATGGATCCCTGGACATCGGATTTGGATCAAAATCTATTATCTGTTCTTCCTTTTCTCGCTATCTGGACATCAGACTGGGATCAAAATCTAGTATCTGTTCTCTTTTTCTTTACTAAGCGGGCTATAGGACTGGGATCAAAATCTCGTACCCGTTCTCCTTTTCATCAGTCCCTGAACATTGGACCAGGATCAAAATCTATTATCTCTTCTCCTTTTCTTCGCTCTCTGGACATCGGACTGGGATCAAAGCTTTATTTCTGTTCTCTTTTTCTTTACTCCCAGGCCATCGGACTGGGATCAAAATGTAGTATCTGTTCTCCTTTTCTTGCCTCTCTGGACATCAAAATGGGATCAAAATCAAATATCTGTTCTCTTTTTCTTTAATCCCTGTTAATCGAACTCGGATCAAAATCTAGTATCTGTTCTCCTTTTCTACGCTTTCTGGACATCGGACTGGGATGAAAATGTAGTATCTGTTCACCTTTTCCTCGCTCATTGGACATCGGACCGGGATCAAAATCTAATATCTGTTCTCTTTTTCTTTACTCCCTAGCCATCGTACTGGGATCAAAATGGAGTATCCTTTCTACTTTTCATTTCCCCCTGGGATACGCACTGGGGGCGGGGGTCACAATCTAGTATCTGTTCTCCTTTTCTTCGCTCTCTGGACATCAGACTGACATCAAAATCTAATATCTGTTCTGTTTTTATTTACTCCCTGCCCATCGGACTGGGATCAAAATGTAGTATCTGTTCTCCTTTTCTTCGCTTTCTGGACATCAGACTGGGATCAAAATCTCTTCTGTTTTTATTTACTCCCTGGCCATCGGACTGGGATTAAAATGTAGTATCTGTTCTTTTAAGTTCGAATGGTAATATTACCTGTTTCGTTATAAGAAAATATTCAGCATTTATTGACCGAGCAGCTACTATCACTGTCGTTTAAAATTCATAAAATCTTTCTCTTCAAACAATTTTTCAGGAAAATAGGTTTCTCAAGTTCAGTTGCTTTTATCTCTCTTCCTAATATTGATAGGAGTTTCCTTTCTAACATTTTATTATAAGTATTGTGGAATATCAAAATCATGATTAACTCATTATTCTTCAAGTTACATAAACTATCCGTTTTAGTTGTTGCCGTTGTTGAATGTCCTCGATTAAAATTATTTGGTACAGTTCTTTCTGTGATTCTGTAGCGTCAGTCGAAAAGGATGGTCCCCGCTGAAACCTACAGGGTTCCTTCGCTCAAAGCCGTTTATTAATCATTGATCTGAGGAAACAGTTTTATACAATTGACAGTATAGATTTTTCTGAACGAGTTTGGTGCCGCTCATAACATCAATAATTCGAAAATGTGTGGGTAAATTTGGACAACTCCTGCAAGTTTACATTTCTAGCCTCATCAGAATAGATAAGGAGTTCGAGTTTCGCAGGAGGCTTATTTTAATTCTCGA